GTTTGCCCGGATTAGGTCACGAAAAATGTCATTAATGTATCGCTGGAATACTCGTGGGACGTTTGTCAGTCCGAAGGGCATTTTTAGAAATTCAAACTGACCCGCAGGCGTTACAAAAGAAGTAAATTTTATTGACTCGTCCGCGACCTTCACGTGATGAAAGCCATCTCGTAAGTCGAGGCTTGAAAAGTATGATTTTTCGCGCAGCTGATCCAAGTGATCATCGATCAACGGAGTCGGAAAATTATCTTTTATAGTTATTTTGTTAAGTTCGCGGTAATCAACACATAACCGTCGTTCGCCATTTTTTTTATGTACAAGTACAATCGGAAAAGCATATGGTGAATTACTTGGTCTAATAATCTGTTCCCGTAATAATTTATCTAACATTTGATTTAATTTTCCCTTGTCAGCAAATGAAAGTCTACGCGGTCTAAAACTGATAGGTCGGTTATGCGTTAAATTGATAATCACTTCGACCTCTCCGCGCGCAAATACGTTATTTGTTTTCGTAATATATTCGTTTTTATATATCTGCTCAATACGGCCTCTCACTTTGAAATCGAGACGGGGATCAATATTTAATGTTTCGGTAACGGACGATGGATGATTTGTATATGAGATATGAAAAACTTGTTTTGAAAAATCTGTGCTATCATCAGGTTCCAATTCTGCTCGCGAAATGTTAACTTTTTCTCCCAACAATACTTTGATTGACGGTGACGAAATAAAATCTCTACCAAGCAATGCGGCGCAAGTCATCGCTGTGTCCGGTACTACAAAAAATTTAATTTTTATTATAACACTATTAACCTCGACATCTCTCTCAAAAATTCCTAAAATTTCTAATTTTGTACCATTAATACCGTAAAATGATTGGTTTTCTACCGCCGGAATACAATTGTCAAGGGGAACAAAATTTTTTTTATTAAGCTTATTGGAGATCCCGAATCGATCATCGCTACTAATGAACATTTATACTCGTCGTTCGAGTTACTCGCAATCTGATATGTAAGATTTACCAAGTATGGGGCGACCGGCGGGATTGCTTGAATCATGTTCGTTGTATTCTCTGCCTTTGGTTGTGATTTAGGACAGCCTTGTATGCGATGTCCGACGCTGCCGCATCCAAAGCACGAGCCCTTCTCGCGCCTTGGCTCCCGCTTACAATCTCTGGAAAGGTGCCCGGGTGTTCCACAGTTATAGCAGCGAACCGGATTGCTCCGTATCGTGGCAGTTCCCTCTTTATGTTGCGATTCCATCGAAGTTCCTGATTGCTGTCCTCTCACAGTTTGCTCTGCGTTATTTTTCAATTCCACATCCAGTGACAAACTCCGAAAAGCATCCAACAAGTCCGTCGCAGATGCAAAGCGGAACATCTTTGCCTGACTGCGCATGTGAGGGTCTGGTACTCCATCAATCAGACAATCGATAAGTTCCTCCTCATCAATCGATGCTTTATTTGCGAGAATTGTTTTCTCATAGAAATATTCTGAGAACGCTTCCCCGCTTCGCCATTTGCGACTTTCCAAGTTTTTTCTCAATGTCGATTTGCTCGGCCGATTATTAAAGACTCGAGACATCTCTAGCAATAACTCGGTGGTATTCAGTTGTAGATATTCTGGTCTTGAGTGAAACCAATTCAATGCTTTATTTTTCAGTCGCGAGTTGATCAATATTTTAGTCGCGTTTTCATCGAGTTGATAAGTGACGCGTAAAAGTTCGACTTGTTTTTTCCATATGTCAAAATTATTGCAATCGCCGTGGAACTCGTTCAATAGGTTGCCAATGGCTTGAATATTAAATTTTGGATCGAAAACGCAATTATTATTAACACTGTTTCCCGCGTCGACCGATGTTTTTTGTTCCCTTCGAGCGAGGCTCAATTCTCGCTCCAGCAATGCCTTCTCCCGTCGCAACAGCTCGAGCTCTCTTGCCATCAGCTCTGGCGGCATTTCGCGATGATGCGGTGTTACCGCAGCCTCTTCAGGACGCGACATTGGGTTCGAATGGATCTCTTCATCTGAGTTCGATTGCCCCGACGTACTAGCGTCAGTATCCACTATCGGCAAATTATGCGCTGCACCATCACTCAACCGCTCAGCCGCCGCCCTCCAAATATGTTCTTTGACGGACAGTATCCGAGTCACCAATTCGGCTTTTGTCCCGCCATCGGTTGTCCAATAGATCGTGCAACTTCTCTTAAATTTATTACCGTTAACTGGTTTAAGTCGTTTCGAGGTGACCCCTCCATTTCACAACACCACCACTCAATAACAAGTATGTAACATGTAAAGCCGTTAACAATTCAAATTCACGACAACAAAGTACGCCAAGCGTTGCAAGTCAATAATTGCAGTCCGAAACAATATCAAATTTCAATTCAATATGCACAAAATTTATAGCGATAACTACTATTACCGTCGCTAGTCGTCAAATCACAAATTGTCGAAGCACCGTTTTAAACAGACAAATTAAATTTTATATCCGCGAGCAAGTCGTATTTAACAGGCACAAATGGATTTTCTCTGTAGACGTGGACCACTTCTGATTTGTAGGAGAGAAGGACAGTGGTGATAAATGAAATGATATATCAAATCAAATCGTTATATTAAAGTTCGCTTACACGTACAGTGACTTGCTCGCTCGCTACGCTTCGACTGACTCGATGTGTACGCGGATGAGGACGATCTCTCGCTTTTGGAAATCGCGAAAACAAGTAAAAACTAAGTACGTCACATAGCACGTTGTTATTGAGGTAAAGTCACTCGGTAGGCACGTGTCACAACACTTGTAGCGGTCCATATATATTACAAGCCGCCTACAGTAAGTTGCTGATTTTATAGTCAGCTATATATTTGTTATTACGAATTAAATTCGATACGTTTATAATTTTTAATTAAAATCTAATATTTATTGTCGTCATATAAATGGTAACAACGTCATTGTTATAATATTCATTTCTCTATTAATTTTTATCTCTGTCTCTCTATAATAATTTATATGTTTATATTTATATTCATATGATTATATTTATATTGTATATATAATATATATATTTATATTCTATCTTGCTTAATTCGGCAAAATCTCGCATTCTTGCCGGCAATCGAGGAAATGTTAAAAATATTTAAAGAACGAGCGAACATATACTTATAGCGACGATGCTGGAATTCGCGTAATGCAAACTAGAAATTCCTTCGCGATGCTCCTTCGCCGGCACCGTATCTGCGCCTGTCACTTAAACAATCGTACGTCTATTGAGAAACTCTTGCCTTGAGAGGACATTACTACCACTCATCGATGGTATGCATTCCCACACCTTCACCTTTATACGCTTGTAATTTGCCATCTTTTATGACCATGTACACGTATTCCTGAACGTACGATCACTATTCATAAATAATTCGCGAAAAAGAATAACATACATTACAAAGTTTTTACCTCGTGTTAACATGCAGTTGATTTTTTTAATATCATAAAATATTTTAAATAAAATTTCTGTGTTTATTATATATTTTTGTAAAAAATTATCAAAACAAGATTTTATATCTTTTTTTAACGAGAGAGAATCTTTCATCTATATATCTTTAGACATCTAAAGGAATAAAATACTTTGACAAACAAATACGAGCCATACTGTTAATTATCTAAATTGAGCAGCGCGCTTACACACTATGTATACAATTTCGAGCAAATTAGTGTATAGCAGAGTACTTATAGCGCGTATCGACTAGTATAAAGTACATTGGAGGCGGCTAATTATAGATATCGTATCGAAAACGTTCCTCTTACAATTAATCTCGAAATACTCCGGTTAGTTTTTTATTAGAAACAAGTCAGTATTATGAGATCGTTTTAAATTAATATTCAATAAAATGTTCATGTGTGCCGCGTATCACTGAAATAAAAATATATTTATAGCAGTGGAAAGAAAAACAGGTTAACCAAATAAATGTTATTTAATATAATTTATAAAGTGTGTATTTATACTGTGCCATTATTCGTGCTAATATGATTATTAGCTATTTCAAATCGGGTCAAATGGAAGAGAGTCGTCGCACTATTAATTTTTGATACCGTTTTAATCCTCGACCGTGTTGGATGCATTAATCTCATATAATAATAGAAGAATATAAAATAAACGTGTATCATTTGCGGTATCACGTGATATACCTCATCGTGGCAGTATGCCATCAAAGAACCGTAATTACGTAATAAACGTCGTTATGTAAATAACGCGCGCTTCATACGAAACGTACTTACTCCTTAACGGATGCATCCCAGATGCACACGCATTCGTAGTTTCGCCACGCAAGGTGAATCACCGTAACGAAAGTGCAGGGACCCCTCTTGCTTGCGCGTATCTCTACGACGGGATGCTTGATTCCATGCAGAACGGAAAACGACGGCGAAGGATCACGCGCGGATCTTCCAGGAGCAGTGTTTCTCAAACATTTTAACGCGGTGTAAATATCGAATTGCATCGCGCAATTGCATGCGCAAATTATATGCAAATAGAGATATTATTGATGGCCACTTTTTTCTCATATACAATTTTAACGACTCTCCAAATCGAAGCGACGAATTGGTCGATCGAAATCGCAGGGTATCCATTTCTATCTCGTGATTCTACGTGGAAATTGGTGTTCGATCGCTTTCAGGTTCTTGAACTCTTCATCTCGACAAGAATAGAAGAGTCGATCTGTTCGTTTTAGAATCAAATTTGCTCTAATTTCTCAAACGAAGAACTTAATCCGATTACGATATCTGTGACATAAAACGGTTGTCAAATTGACGTTTACTTTTTACATGTCCAGGTCACTGGATTATTTTCTATTATCGGAATCTTATGTATAAAAAATTTAACTATTTACATATATATATATAAAATTTAACATATTTAATATATAAGAGAAAAAACTGAATTATTTCTTATTACATAATACTGTTAAATATAGTTACGTGTATAAATATAGTAAGTTGACAAGAAACATATATCATAGTTGTTTAATCAATTCATCGGTTTATTAATATTTGATTTTCATGGAATTATACAAGATCATAAATACAATATTATTCAAAATATTGACATGATAGTAATGCGATTTTTTGAGGCTTGTATGGCAGTGGATAATGTTACAGAGTATCGTAGGCGACTTTTGCCGACACATTTACTGACGAATATGAATGATTGATTAAGTACGACGTCGGTTTTCAAAATTCCACATTCTAGATAATACGCGTCCATGAGTGAGATGTTTGCTTTGAAATGATTACGGTATCAACTACAATCAATATACCGACAGCTATTTACATATGTACACAGTAGTTCGCGTAGTGTAACAGCAAGTGCGGTAAAATGCATCAACGCGCTAACCGCAACATACGCTGCGAAATGTATAACCGCAACCTCGCTGGACCTTCCGAGTACTCTCATAGTTCGATCAAGTATTTCCGATACCAGGTATCGGTTAGTACGCAAGTCGATCGTTTGCACAACTATTTCCTTGATTAAAATCCTCGAAAAAAGGAAAATCAATATCTTTAGAATCCGCGTCGATAGAGATCACTTTTCTACGAATTTCGACGCGAATACAAATAGAACGACGAAGAAGATGCATCGCCAAAATTGGTCGTCGGCTATACGTGTCGCCAAGGATTGATAATGTGGTATCAAATCCTCCGTCGTTTTATCCCGTCGACAATAGTACTCGTCGTCATTTGGTAAAACATCCTTTACAATATCGAGGAATTTTACGTAAGGACACAATTCCGTGCAACCTGGAATCGTCTGTATAATCAGTTGCTCTGTGACGCCAGTCCATAATAAAACCTGTGAAAGTATAACAATCTTTTATGTATCATATAAAATATTATAACAGGAATGTAACGTGGTATATATTATAAAACTAGAATAATCGATTTTTTAACTATTTTGATAGCTATAGAATTGTTTTTTAAAACTATTTTGACAGATATAGAGCTGTTCTTATCGATTATGTTCTACATGGGAAATCTAGCAGGTTCTATAAATATAATTTAATTCGTTGGTTTATTTCATTGATGAGACAATTAAGTGTCATATAACGTACCCGAATATAGTAAATTCCTTTCTTGTCCTGAAGAGTCTCTAAAATAATCGTAGAACCATAAGCAGGGATTTTTGGTTCGTTCGTTCCCAAAGCGTTAGCAAGGGCGGCTATATTGGCTTCGTGACTGCCAAATAGAAAAGCTTTTCTGTCATGTGCCGATTTTCCCGCTTTTTGCTCTTGAATATCGTCTACTATTTTGCGAAGCAACGTGCCTATAACAGTAATATACATATAGAATTATAATGTAATGAAAATATTTTAGTAGATTATTTTAAATAATTTTTAATAATGAAAAAAAGATGTGTCAATTATATATAGAAGATATTCTCAGAGTAAATTATCATACCAGCAGCATATTTTATTCATTTTGAACACAAGAAAAGGTATGATTATAAGTTCAGAAATGCATTCTTTTCAAGTTATAAATGCTTTCTGCCTGCGGTAAAGTTTTGCGAGAATACCTAAGAAATTCATAAAGCTTTGATCTTAAAGGATGAATATTATGTTTTCTTTAGTTTTAAAGGAATTGTTGAAAATCACTTCTTTCTGCAACGATACCCTAACGTTTCGTGAATTCAAATACAAATAGATTTAAACAATGCGGGATAAATGGCACATTTGATATGTTTGTTCATTTATCTGTTAATTTTTCCTAATTGCACAAGTACTACTATTATTTGTTATTAGTACAAAAAAATAATTGTGTTTACAATTTAATATTACTAAATAAAATTTAACGCAGAAGGTTTGGAAAATAACATTATTTTCATTGTATTATATTATACAGTTGATCTTTTTTCTGAGGATAAACAAAATCTATTGTCCAAGTTTATATTTTAGAAAAATTTTTTTATATAATATATAAATCATACCTACCTCCATTTAATCTCTTCAAAGTTTTTGTGTATGATTTAAGTTTGAAATCCAGTTTTAGTATTTCTTCCATCGGACTAGGGAAAACATTCTGAGTCCATCTTGGCAGTGTCAAATTTTGCGCAGCCTAGAAATGATTGTTATGATAGAAATTTGATGAAATATATTTTAGATGATTTATATCACCGTCGAAAAATAATTGCTCACCTCTTCTTTGAGTAAATTATATAAGTGACTAACTGCATCCGTACTGTTAATTAATTTACCAGAATGATCGGTCAAATAATCCATTATGTTCTTATACTTATTAATTATCTTTTTTGTACTGTCCAGTTGAAGGAATCGTTGATATTCTTCTCTGTATCTAAAAATCAATAAAAAAATAACTATTTGTAAATTGAATCATTACTGGATAAAGTTGCATACAAAGAGTATAAAAAATGCATATAAAATGATCAAATCTTTTTCTTTTGATTCCGGATCTTGCTTACTTTGCATTGTAGAAAAAAAATAATTAAATATATAAAATAAAAAGAACAATAAAATAAAAGAAAAAACATACGTTCTTAGACGTACAAGAGAGATAAGCTCGAGGAAAGGAGACTAAAAAACGAAATTTAATGATCATTCATTCTATTATTATGTCCCGACGATCCAATTTTCATAAAGTTACTTACCGATGGCAGTAATGCGGAAACAAGAGGTTGTCAGTCTTGTACGGCACGAAGAACGTCCACGTCGGAATCCAGGGCAAGCGCGGATTCCAGATTTGCCTCTCGGAGGGCGGGAATAATCCTGCTAGAACCAACTGAAGAGACAGCTGGGTTCGCGGGACATCCGTAGATCGGGCATAGATCTTGGCCGGCCAATAATTCGGGCCGAAATATTGATCGTATCTTCCGCGCAACATAGTCCCGATTTTGTATTCCCGCAGCTTGCCTTCCTAATATTCACGAGAGAGAGCGTTATAGTTAGACAAATCGAAAGATGAATATCGGAAGATATTATATAAGTTTTAAACTGAAATATTTTCTCATCTTTAATCTTCAAAGTAACGATTATCTGTATCGAAATCAGAGAATTAATTTTTTGTTACATTATAAAAAATATCAGAATATTTGAAACTTCGATGCGCGATGATAAATGTCAAATGCTCGTGTTAATGTTATATAAGACGAAGAGCATAAAATAGATAACTGCTTTGTGAGAACTATCTTATGACAGCATGTGATTTAATCTACTTTTAAAACACGTGTGCAATTCGAATATATTGCATAAGAAAATAATATTAGAATGCTCTTTGTTCCTGAATGATTAAATATAATATAATTGTTGATATAATTAAATTGATCGCGGAATTACATAATACGATATTTTATTTTGATCGCTATAATTTATACTTACATTCGTTAAATCGCCGTTTCCTATCGGATAGTAAGAGTGATTCCGATGCGGATCATTGGGGTAATTTTGGAACTCTCGATGGGGCACTTTGTCACCATGGCGAAATATCTTTGAAACAGAACATACTTATGTAAGTTATGTCGTCATCATCTATTATCATCACTGTCACCTCACAAACTGTCACGATAATGCAAATGTTTCGTTACTTGTCTCTCGTACGACGGATCGCTTTCTCGTAACTTCTTAATTTCTCTCGAAAACTTTTCTCGATATCAAACTCACATCTGCGCGACTTGCGCTACAAAAATATCTATTTGTCTTTTACTGATTTGAAACAATTTAGGAATAACATTTATTTGATACTTTTGAAAGAAAAAAATCTCAAACTACTTTTTACTACAAAAAATCGAAAAAAGCTCTTGGAAACAATCAAATAAATTCTTTCACACACTTCGTCGTTCATACACATCCTCCAAGAAAGCGATTTTCATTGATTTCACGCGTTGATTTATCTAGGAAAAAAAATGAAATAATCCTTTACCACATGAAGTAATTGCAGTTCCAGGTCGGGATCGGCTGATAAGGCAAAGTTGATAAGAGATAAGGCGAAAATCGTTGATGGTATCAAAGACATTTTTGCGATGTTTTCCCGAAGATACTTTCGATTCGAACGAGCACTTAATTAATACGACGTGGACGACGGTCGCGTTTGGAATCAACGATTTCACGGCACAATCTATGGATTGTGTGTTTATATTTCTACTCTCGCCTCTCTCAGTTGGCATCCGAGTGGGAGTGGGATAAGGAACAGTCAAACAGGCTCACAATTATTTTTATGAACAAGTTTCCCGGTCTTAGTTAGTGACGCTTGATCCTTTTTCTTTATCTCGATCGTCATCTTCCTCGAAGGACACGTAAGCAAAAAGTAAAAACCCACAGAAAACCGCAAATGATAATCATGTAGGACATTTCCAACATTTTTAGATTAAACGTTCACATTCCTTACTGCGTAAATAGTTTATTTATAAATTATGCAAACGAATTAATTGCGTCGTTGTATGAATATGATAAAGTGCGGTTTATCATATTTGACAGATTTTAAGATTTTTAGCTTTTCGTAATTATGCGATAAGACATAATAGGTAGTTGTTTGATATATGATTTGTTTTTTGAAATATGCTAATGAAAGAAATGTTATTTTTAAATAGATATATAAAACATTTTTTTAATTAAATACGATTTTCGCTTAATTTTTTTATGATATTTCAACTTTTACTAACTTTTAATTAGATTTTTAAAATCTAAAAGTTAAAAATAAAAGTAATTTTTTTCCAAATTATGTTATTAAAAACTTTAAAAGATTGGTGTATCGATATTAGTCATACAATGGTTTTAATAAAGAAAAAGATAACAAAGAGAATTTCTGTCGTGAATAAAAACAGAAAACATATCTTTTCAGTCATTTCTTATTGTATTCTGTAACATATTTTAATATCAATCTAAGGCTTTGTTATTTTATCCAGAATCATTTTGTGGCGCATTTATGTCGTTTGTCTTTAATTTGCATTCTTTTTTCTCTTAACTGAAAAACGCTTTCTTGCTCATCTAAAAGTGTGCTGAATTTATGAGTCTCGCAAATGCTTGGTCGTTCGGTCAGGTTTATCTGCATGTGCGTAAATAACCAAACGGATCTGTGTAGCTACCATAAAAGTGGAATATTTACGAACTTTTTAAAGGTTCGAGAAGTTCTTTCCACAATTCTTTATTTATATAGCTTTATATAGATAACTATGTGTGTGTACGTATGGTCGTATATTTTATTAACAATTAAAACTTGATTAACAATACACAGGTAGTTATTGCTTATAGATTTGATTTAATTATTAAGTACAATAGATTTTTCTGAGTTGTTTTATTTGATTTTTTCCGAACAAACTGGTAATTTTTTTTTAGATATATATTTTTCGTGTATATATGTATGCATATATTCTCTGTTGAATATTTTAAAAATAATATAGCATTTTTTAGTTGGAATATTTCCTAAATTTTTTTAGTTTTATCAAATATCGACATTCCTATACGATATATCGGCATATTAAATTGATACGTCATACCAGATGCAGACGTGCGTCAAATCGTCTACAGTCGAATACATATCACATTATTGAAGTCTCAAGGATATCTACTTTATTCTTTCGAGTATAACATCATGCTTCTATTTTGACATTTATTATACTATAGATTTAGCTTTGTTACAGTGCAATCAGAACATTCATGGAAATTATTTGTTTCAAAATTGGATTCCTTTCTTAATTCTAAGATTTTTATTCCGTAACTATATTATTTTTTGATCTCTGGAACACATTTTTAGAAGTTTTATCTCTTTTCCATTAATGGAATGCGTGTATCATTTATCCAGGATAGTTCATAAAAATTCAAATAAATGATTCATGATTGTGAATGATCGGCATGAGTAGTCGACCTACGTCACGTTTTTTTCCGTAAATTTAGTGGAATCATCGCACTTGAATTCACCGCAATAGATTTTCCTTCCGCGATTCAATTCATGGAAAGCTGAGAGGAAATCTGAAAGTTTTTTGAAGCAAGCATGAAATGCGCAAATGGAAATCTATTTTGGTACCGGTAAACTTCTGATTACTATTCGCGACAGAATTAATTAATTTGCGAGACGGTGAAATATGTTATTCGTATAATCATTTACGTAACGTGAATGTATTGTACTTACGAAAACAATAAACCACGATTGCGCACGTATTAACGTTTGCAGCGAGGTGCGTCTTAATTTGCGGAACAATATAAAATATTGATAAACATTGCTGAAATAATTTATATAACTTACACAAAAAAGTGAATCGCCATTATATACATATAAAAAATGTCTCCAAACTATCAAATGCTTTTTAATAACAAATTCTCTGGGAAAAATTAAACCTGGTCAACCAAATGTTGCAAAAATTTTTTTTTAAATCAATCTTCTTTAATATATTTTGGACAATTAACTCTATCATTATAATAATTAACTTTAATGATAGCTAACTATATTATAATTAACGATCAGTTTGCATTAGTAATGCATATGATTTCATAATCGTGACGACCGCAATTGGCTCGATAGTGATGTACAATTATGTTAAATCAATAACTCGAACGATTGAGGGAAAAATAAGCTGTTATGATTATGTATGTATATTAACCAAGCCTACATATCCATATCTTATGCTCTTACGTGAAAGAAAAGTTTTTTCTTATTATAATTTTATGCAAGACATAAGAAGCTCCCTAAAATTTTCCGGTATATTAGAACATGAGAGAATAGCTGCTCATTACACTTTTTTTATTATAATTATATAAGTCCTTGAAGTGTTTTCTATCGCGGTTGATGATTTTTTACAACCTGATGAAATGTTATGCTGTAATGCGTCATATTTGGACGATTCTGATTAAGTAATTTACATTTATAAAAACTCTCTCTTTTCTTTTTTTCTCTTCTGTCGCAATTACATTTTTTTTTATTTTATTAATATATTAGATGTATTACAAAATATTCATATATTATATATAGATTTATTATAAAACAAATAAAACATCTCGCATAGTTTTCTATGTGTGAGGTCAATGCTATTTTAGTTTAAGATCAAGTAAACTAGATCAAGTATTATTATATCCGTGTATAGATCATATTATGTGTATCCGTGTATAAATTACGCGAATAAAACACCTTTCGCGCGGCCTTCATTTAGCAATACCTTACAACTACATGAATCATTATAAATCATTTAATACTTAACCTTCTATGCTACTTATATTTCTACCTTAATTGTATACCGTAAAATGCAATAATATAGTTACGCTATTCTTATATAATGATCACTCGCGATTCAAAAAAGTAAATAAATTGATGAATTTTATCAGTTAATTTTATCAGTTCAACTGATGAAGTTTGTCGAGGATTTGTCAACTAACAATAACTTTTCTTCAAAACAGAAATATTTTTATTATTAATTAGAATTTCTACAAACTTTTACAATATATCGCATAATCATAAAGATTTTGAAACTGGTAGAAATTGATTGATATTCGAGTTTATAAATTTAACAAAATATATATATATATATATATATATATATATGTTTGTGTGTGTGGTAACAATAATATTACATGAGAAACACAAAGTAAACATTTTTTTAAATATTATAATTATAAGTGTAAATTTTATTATTGAATCTCGTATTTTACACGATTTTTAAAGTTATTTTATAATACATTCATGTTATTGAAAAGAAGTTAAAATAATATTTTAAACTGAATATATATTCCAATATATTAGTAATAAATGTCATACTTATTCATTTGCTTCAGGAACACGTGTTATTGATTTTCTTTCATTGAAGTTTTAATATCAAACAGTTTGATTATTTATTCATAACTTTTTATGTGACAATTTCAATTAATATGAAACATGATCACAATATACTGTATCCATTAATTACAGATTTTGAAATTAATTTGAATATTTAAACATATCATTTGATCCAATTAATTATCAATCTACACGTGTGCATGATTTTATTTTACATCATAAATGAAGTAAAGTGTTTCATTCTCCATTTTCAAAAATTATAAATTATAAATTATAAGGCTCTTATTTATTAATAAGGCTATATATATTTACAAAGTTCAGAAATATATTTATATATATTTATATATATATTGCTTTTTGAAAATAGAGAACGAAACACGTTATTCCATTTTCTACGTAAAAGAAAAAAATTGCATTTACAGTGTCATCTTATAAAAAATGATGTGGGTGTGATCTAAATGCAGATGTGTATTTAGATTGTTAATGCAGATATGATCATATAGTTAATGCGGACACATAGATTAAAAAATAAACCCAATATGTTTGTAGTTGTAATTTATGTGATGTTTGTGAATAATCTCGATTAAACCCGTTTATACGAATAATTTTCTGCATAATATACTATAAAATTTTAATTTTAATGTGATATTAATCTGCTAATAGTCAATATTAAAAAATGTGAAATTTAAATAGCAAATATCTCAAATTTCTATAACAAGAAGAAATATTTTAGATAATTAATAACAATAAGTAACAATATAATCAGTATAGTAATAAAATTAAATATAAAATAAAACAAAAATATAACATCAAAATTATCAAATTAATTACGAAATATATAAAGTTGAAACAAAAATGCACTATAAGGAGTGAATGCAATCAATTATTCAACACAACTTTTTGAAACATCATTCAATCTATGATCGGTTCCACGAATTATACGATTAATTCTATCTTCCTAATGAATATTATAAACATGCTTCGATATCGCACATACGATCATAGATTTTGAAATACATAATACATATAACGCGGATTACGTGTCTTATTTCCTCATTTTAAATCGTGCATACAATGATTATAAATAGTCTTTAATTTTAATCAGATTCACAAACTTGAATACAAAATGATAGAATCAATCAAAACGTAATTATGCGATATTATTAAATACCTTTAAACATAAATGTATGTGGTTTGATACACAATAATTTATATAACACATACACAATTATTTTATATTGAGAGAGCAAGAATTTATTAAACATTTAGAACTTTTAGTTAGTAATAGATGATATATAATAGAACGAATTTACATATTTATACATATGTACCAAACAATCCGGTTTTAATATAAATCTTTCTGAATGTTGTTTAAAAAGATATATCTTTACGTTTATTATTTATTTGTTTAATAATTATAATAATTATTTACAATTATATATATATATAAATTATATTTACATTTTTGCACATCGTTTTTTTTTTTAAATTTTTATTTTAATAAAAATGAACAGTCTGGCGCACACAAATATGTATATATACGAATATGTTGCTGCAACTGCGTTGCGATTTAACATATATAATGTATGCAATACGTTTAAAGTTAGAAATTAATCTGTGTGCTAAGACACGCGCAATTTGATAAGTCTGGGCAGACTGTATAAATTACAATACGTTATTATATGATAATCCTATGCTAAGATTCTAATAGTAATAGAGAAATGATTGTAGACGATATCAAGTACCATTCGCGTCGTTGTAGAAAAAAATTCATAGAACATAGAGAGAGTAAATTTTTTTATAAAATTTAATTCGCTAAATTAAACAAATCAACAATATTTATCATCAACTATGAGAATTTTCTTTTCATCAAAATTATATTAAATTCTTCATTTGTGTGTTCGAGAGACTTTAATTCAACTTTATTCAGGAAGCACATGGCACGAGAGAATTAGATACTTGTTTTTACTAAACGTGCGTTGGTGATCTCTATCGTTAATGCTCACATTTTTTGCAACCACTTCCTCTCGTTCAAGTATCGATTATTCGATTGCGCGTTTGTTCCGTAACTTCGCAGCAATGATGACCTTGAATGATACATCGACAGGTGTTATGAAGTGAGAAGGAAAAGGAGGAAGCGTAGAACAGAAAAACAGAAACAGACCGGATACTACACTAGTCTTATTATAATACTATGTATTTACACGTGACAGAAACATAGTTACGTTTCCACAATGCAAATGTACTTTATCGGTGAAAAAAAAATATCGGCGATGTCGCGAATCTAGAAATGCACGCTCTTATGCAGTGCAAAAAGAGCTTAAAAATCCCGATAAAATCGCGGCAACGATAATTGCACGATTGTAATAAATAATATTCGCGTCTGCCAGTTAAGTAAATGCATCTTTTAATCTCATCGTTTTCTCCGTAAAATCTAATCGCAAGATTGCAGGAAACATGTGCCACAGCTGCATTCATCGGGTCGTCGATGCATGATCGGTCATGCCGTGCACGAGGAGCACGTGTGTTGTCATCACGCAATACAGCCTGTAATCCTATTCTTTCGCGCATATATATCTCGAATGCTTCATTCGATATACGTGATCTTGATACGCAAAAAGCTCTCGTATACAAATGTTAAGAATATATACAATTTTGGAACAACTTTTCCTAGACAATTTACAGAGAGAACACGTATATATACCTAACAAGATTTAATATCTTAAAAGTTTATTAGAGTTTCAACGAGGAAAAGGAAAGGAATAATCATTGCTTGCGGAAAATAGCGATGATCGATGCGCGAAATGATACCATTACGAGATATCCAGGAAACCCCCATCCATTCTCAAGGATATCTATGAATTTTAATCCTCCGTCGCTTCAAGTGCAAGTAACGAGAAACAGAGGGAAAGAGAGAGAGAACAGCTTCTATTGCATACATGTGCGTTAATAATGAATGGGCTGCAAATCAGACGTGAGCTTCTTATCACGAGCGTACAGACTCACGAGTTTTATTACGATTACAGGTTCGCCAGACTTTACACATCTGCCGACGTTAATTCATAATTATATACAACCGCGTTTAAACGTCTCGTACTATCTGGTTCCGCTTTCGTCTTCTTCGAGAGAATCGATCCATACAGCACACAAGTTTGCAACAACATTGCAATATTGTACATTGTATAGCAATATTGCAGAAATATTATATAGGCATGAATTTGCAATATAGTTTAAACAACGTTGCAGCAACATTTCAGAAATATAAAATTCCAGCAAAAAATATTAAGTACAGAACATTCAGTCCGATTATGTATTTGGCACATTTCCAATAATCCAATAGTAATATTACATATATATTTTATCGCATTATTGCTGCAATCTTGTAGAACAATATTTCTGAAAGTGGACATTTTACCTTGCAAGATTGCTGCAACATTTCACAATGTTTATGCAATGTTGTAATATTGCAATGAAATGTTGCCACAATGCTGCTACAATCTTGTTTTGCTGTATATGGGGAACTTGCGGAAAAGCTTAGACAGACGCACATGGGCGTCGAAAGACGAACGAAAAATGAGTTTATTCTTTATCAAGTCGTTACGATCGTAAGGATATAGTTAAACCGCAACTGAGGATTCATTTCACGAGGAAAGAGAAATCCAATAGTGTCGAGAATTGAATAACTTATCGACAGATGTCGTGGAGCGTGAAGAGATACGTTCGGAAACAACTTCCTCTCTCCCTCTCTCTTTAGGAACCATTGCAGATTAGCCTAAAGATCGATAGGCTACATCGAGTTGTTCCAGCAGCCAGCGCACGATTTTCGTGTTAAATTTCAACCTTCACCTCCATCCACGTCCTTGTCTCCCTTTTCTCTCTCTGTCTCTATCTGACATTCCATTTCCCGAAACATTCTAAAAATTTCAATTTTTTTTTCAGATTCTTGCCTAATCTATTTACTATTTCCTAATATTTCTTGCGACACACATTTCTCATTCTGATATAAAATTCTGGTTGACCTTTGATAATCGAAGAGATTCTTGCCTAATCTATTTACTATTTCCTAATATTTTTTTGCGACAAACATTTCTCATTCTGATATAAAATTCTGGTTGATCTTTGATAATCGAAGAGATTATTTAATTAAATGTTTGCTTTTTATATATTCATCAAACACTGCCAAAGTAAACTTAATTTTAAATTATCATCTTATAGAAATTCTCTTGTTCATCTACTTATCAATTTGTCACACAATCATTCTTTTCAACGTATCGATGTATTATTATAATACAGTTTCTCAACTCTCTCCTAGAGTCTCTAGAAATTTATATCAATATGATTTAATATAAAAAATAAGCTGTTCAGTCAGCAACATCTGTTCTGTATTTTTTAGTGACGTATATTATGATTATATTGAGGCAGCTTCCTGTATAAAAAGCGATTGAAGGATTTATAAAGAATAAGAAGGCAATTTATATTCAATAATGCGAGCATCGCTTTGTTAATTTGATTCGTTGAAAAATCCAAGAGCTTACGGAACGTTATTATTAATGAGATAACGGTGAAGTTTTTCCTTGCAGTTTATAAATTCGTCAAAATGTAGGCAAAAAGTTGGTTAACTTTTTAATTACGAAATAGAGCGTTTATCAACTCGTTATTAACTATCTTGTATTTTGTATACGCCACATAAATCCATCATGGCACAAAATGCCTTTAGAAAATGCATATAAGTAATGTACAAATAGTTTGACTGGCTTTTGGGACACTTAAAAACACCCGTCGGAATCTGGACGTAAATACGAGGGGTGAGCAATGTCGGGGATATATGGGTCACACAGGAAGTGCCTGCAGCGTGTTACCTGGTGTGGCGCACGAGCTCGCGCGATAACCCGGGGCATAGTTTCGGCGGAACCTTGGACTAGTGACCCACATAATGCGCGCGCGCGGAAGTAACGCCGATGTCCTTCGGACACGTCGATAAACATCCTCGAGCCGGGCTTTATTTCATCGTCCGCGTACTCCGCCTTCGCGAATATCCTTCACCCGAAATTCCATGTATGACGCCCGATTTTTCAGATTCGCTAACACATCCGATAAGAACATTTCTACGACGGCCTTGTTATCGAATCAGTTTTTGGGATGTCGAAAAATATTGGGATGACGCAGAAGATCGTTAATGGAAATTGCTTGCCATACGATAATTTACATATAAACCCGAATGATATAAAAGACATGCAAATGCAATTATAGGTGTATGCAAATATCTTTCTGTAATAATTACATCAATATATATGAGAAAGAATAGAGTGAAAAATACAAGATACTTTGATCTATTTTGTGCATCAACTTTAATAGTTCAAATAAAACGCACATTAAATATGCAATTTTAACTCGATTTCTTCTCTCTTTTTATTTGATTATTTTTATTCATTGAGTTTATATGATAATAGCAATAGAAATGCGTTAAAATATTTTATTTAAACATATCAATAATAATATAATAAACCTAGTTTCTTTTACAGTTTAGTTCTGTATTCTTGAAAAGTAAAATTACGATCTATTTTATACTTTATAAAGTTACACCTAGGTCGCACATAAATAAGTAATTATGTTGTAACAACGTTCAATATAAGAAGTTTAGAATAATACATAAAAAATAATTGAGATTTACGCTGAGAGAATTATGTTCTCGAAGTTTAAATTATTCTAACCTATATTATATATATATATATATATATATATATATATATATATATAAATTTATAATTAGCTTAACGAATTAAACTTGGAAAATCTTTTAAATATTCAGCGAAATTGAAGACATTTAAACATGCCCGTTTCCATTGCGCTCATCAATCGCGGCACATTCGGTAAATCCTTCTCCGAGAAAAATAAGATTTTTCGATGAGTTATTCTCGATGAGAGTTATATTCGAATTTTATAAATTTTTAATGATTCCCCTCGATGCATTAACAACGCGTAACGTGAAAACAAATAAAGAATAGAAGGGATAGTTTAAATATAATTTTTATAAATAAGACAACCATTTATATTATTATTATTACGGTAAATGCATTACAAGAAGAGTAGTTTTCAAAATATATTTTTTAAGATTCTATTTTTTTATATTTTTTAAAGAACATATATACTTTCATAAATATCTTGTGGTATAGTAAAAAATCCACAAAATTAAAATAATTTATATGTGTTAATCCTGTACGCGCATATATTTGTGTCTATCGATATTACGACGGATCTGTATTCTCGCAACGTGTCCAATATTTTATTGTGTTAATGGATCTTGCGGGAACATTTATCTTCGTTTTTCCTTTCTCCGGGTCCTCGATCAGAATGGCCTTTTTCTTTTCGTTTCTGAAGAAAATAAAAATTTAATAGATACACGAGAATTTTCTCGCGCTGCATCGTATAGATATTAGAATGTATTATATAATACGACAATAAGCATATGAATATTTTTAGGGTGTCCGTTTATATCGGTTTATACAAAGAGAAACTTACAGATTTAAGATTACTAATACGACGCCACCGTCGGATGTGGAAAATGCAATATTTTCAACATTATTCATATTTTCTGTTGTTGTATCGATCCTCACACTATTAGGTGGAACATACCTGTTCAAGGAAAGTTTAATTACCAATAATTATAACTTATTGTTGAATCGCTACAGTATTCCGAAAAAGTATTAACTCTAGCTATTTTATGAATTCATATTGTTTTAATATCGTTAATGTTACGAGTATGTCACACACAGACACACACAATAATTCAAATATAAAAGAGCAACCAACTTCGAAAAATGTCCAAGAGCGTAGAACATTGGTTGCTTATAAAATTCATCAGCTGCACTATTGACTATTATAGGCGAATCAACATAATTATTGATCCAATTTGGTCCACCAGTCATATCTAAGGCTATGTTCCAATCGATCCAAGAAGATGCCCAGTTCGACATGGTTTCGATAATGCTTTTCACGTATATCTCACCACGCTTCCATGAACCTAAGATTACCTTTGACTCTGTAAATAACCACTTGTATATATATACAAATATTAAATATTTTTATTTTACTGAAATTAATAAATTACCAGCAATAGACAAATTTTTCGGATAAATTTACAATGTGAAAATATAAATGAATTTTTACCAACCGTCGAAAATTCCTGCGGAAGCTTCTGTGTATAATATTAACTTCTCCGGAAAATTTTTTTTTATTTCGCCTAAATTAAATAAAAAGAAATTTGGACTGATTACAAGATCAAAATAAAAATGGACCGCGATTCCTGAAATAATATCTCTTGCTCTTTTGTCCTGAAATACTTTATTCGGCCACCCAGGAATTATAATCCTGTTGTCATCCATTGCAAAGATTTTAATGTGGCCAAAGCCCTTTTTTTGTAGAGTTGGTGACAAGTACTCGATAATCCAGTCGCGCTCTTCCTCGGGGGTCCATGCCATACTGGTAAAATTCATGTATCGAAGATAAATGTAACTGGCTGGCTCATTCTGAGACGACACACCCCAGAACTCTAAACCAGCATTACGATAAGCCTCAAAATATCTATATAGATACAAGACGAGAGTAATTATTTATTATTTTGGCAATATATATTATATATATATATATATAATCTTTGATTAGGTTTATATAAATTTATTAATTATGAATCTTTCTCTATTTTCTTTATACATATACATATATATATATATATATATATATATATATATATATCTCATTTAATAATATAAATTTCATTGTAATAATAAATATCCTGATCAGTAATTATGAATAACGAGTTAATATTATAATAATATATAATTACTTGACGAAATAATCTGCCCATAATTGTCGATATTCTGGACGTAATTTATCCCGATTCATCCAATCGTTATTTATTTTCATCCAAGGGGCCGCAGTCCACGGTACGGTCAACAGCTTGATTTTATTTTCTTTTAATTCTTGAGCCCGTTTTATCAGTGGTATCTATTAATACTTGAGATATTTAATGAAACATATACATTATGTTTTAATTATTAGCTATATTATTCACTCTAGAAAGTTAACTTTAGGAACGTAAGTATTTTTTCTTTTACATATTTTTAAAAATATAGATTACTTGTCTTGTACAATAAAAGGGCTAATAAAAAATTATTTATTAAATGAATAAACCTTATAATCATAATCTTCCATTTGCAAATTAAAATTCGAAAGTGTAATGTCATTTTCTGTCATTGCGTAGGTATAAGTTCTTGTTGAAAAATCCGATCCACCCATTGGCGTCCTGATAAAGTTATAATTGATACCATGCGGACCAAAGTAGCTTCTACAATTTGGGAAAGAAATTTAAATATAGAATTATTTTTTGATCAAAGTTATCATATACAATACTTGCTAGATATGTCACAATCGTACAACCATTAAATCAGCAAAACTTTTTTAGAATTTAAATACTCTATGATATACTTTATCAAGTTGTCGGACGCATTCTGTGTCAGATTAAAAATATTTATAGCTGCTGAATCAGTCACTGCTCCACCAAATCCCAAGATTTCTTGATACGTTTGCGTTTGATTTATAATGATCTTTCCTGGCAGAGATGGATTTACATTTTTTTCCTTAATACTTCCGCAAAATATTTTTGTTGCGGTAGTTGCTTCTGATATTTGTCGCGCACTAGGCTTTTGTGTTCGAGATTTCGAATCTGTTCACACATGCAGACAGACATGTTTTTTTCTAATATTTTTAGTGCATACCAAAAGATTAATGAATCTTCTATAAGAGACGTTATATACTCACTGCGTTTAGGTTCAGTTTCTTTAAATAAGCCTTTCGATACGCGAAATCTTAAACCATTTTTATTTGAAGTTATTAAGGTATATTCGTCGAGATTTTGTGGTTTAATCACGTCAGGAGTTTGATCACATCGCTTTGCATTGCAAACGCAATAATGTCCATCATCTCCACTCGTTGTCGAACGGCGTTTGACACAGTCAATTGATGACGTAACTACATTTATTAAAATATATAATTTATAAATTACTTTGTTATTGCTTTTGCGATACATATGTATTTCAACGATATGTGATACACATTTTTTTACGTGTAAATAAATGAATTTTTTAAATTGAAAGTAAACATGCGACTTTAAATTTGTTAATTTGAATGTTTTAATATTGTTAGAACCAGAAATTTGCTATTTTGCTATTTGATCTGTGCATGTTTTATATTTTACATCTTACATTTTGAAAGGATTCAAAATAAAAATCATGTTTATGCTTTTGTAAGAAAACATTTTTAAAATTCTAAAAGTGTATAAAAATATAGATAACAACTTTACTTATATTATTTTGATTACGTTATTTTTTTATATATTCTATAATATAAAGAATTACTTTTATAAGCAAACATTACATTTACAATTAGTGATATAAAAATTGATTTATAAAATATTGTAGAGTATAAAATGTAGAAAATATAAATTATAGAAATATCCGTCACAAAACCAATAAAATATAATCTAAATTAAAATGTATTGAAAATTGCGATAAATAAAATTAATTAAAAATTATTTAACTTTTACGTGTATATCAATAAAGCAATAAGCAACGGACGCAAACAAAATATAATAATCTAAAATATTTATTGAAATATAATTGAAATTCGAAGTATAATCTATTATTTACCTGTTACTGAAATCGCAACCAGAATGATCAAGCGCCACATTATGACTGAGTCAACAAAGATGTAACTTTAATGCAAAGACAGTGATTTCAATGTAAATTTTTCTACACCTAATACAAAACGAGAATTATTTATGAGCTGCTCATGATTACAGTTTTATAAATTAACATAAATTTGAGGAACAGAAAAAACTTGAAGAGAAATATGAAAATATATAATTAAGATATATTGTATATAAAAATAATTATGTAGTTTCTTAGTTTCTAAAATCGATTTTTTAAAAACAAAATTACGAAAAATATCTAAATATTTAAATCGAATCCGTCGTATTTAACTTAAGAAAAAAAAGCAAATAAAAAATTGTATTTAAGTCAAATACGTTGTGTTTAATTTAAATATATTAATTAAAAAAGTGATAACTTAAAAATAGAAATGATACCAAACGTATTTTACCACGTTAACCATTTTTTTCTTAGTATATTTGAAATATGCAGATCATTATCTTAGCTACGAAATATATAAGTTTTAATTTTAACCTGTGAGAGTGCCTACAGTTTTAAATAATACATTTCGATATATTCTACGTTTGTCGAGCAATTGTGACGAATTCAAAGAAATAAATACTTTGTTTAAAAAAGGCTTTTACGTGCACCTATACATAAACATTAGAGACAGAGAGAGGGATTAGATAAGAGGGGAGGATCGAAAAGAATATACATGGTACCCCAATAAATCTATAAAAAGCAAAAAGCTATAATTTTTTAAGAGAATTATTTGTGAAAATAGTTTTCAAAATGTTTCTTGTTTTTCCTTGTTTTTTACAATGTACATGAAAGACAGGATATTAAATAAATTATAAAATTATTTGGATTAAAGTTCCAATTTGTTTTGGAAAATGTTGCTAATATAAAGTCATGAAGGAAAATATCCTATTGAAGTTGCTTAAAAATGTCATTACGGTTCTCTTCAGAAGTTTTGTCGATGTATACGATACGGTGTGTAGAATTTCGTATTAAAATGTAACTTGATTCGTATTAAAATGTTAATTGATAATAATGCTATTGTTCATTTTTCAATTGCCTTTAAAGTTAAAATTGCTAATATTGCCGGTCGAGTGGTTAATATGGTAATGAAATGAGTTCCAGAAATGTGTGGGCTTGATGTATTTATTAAATTATGTGAGATCATAACACAACATAATTAGATATACATAAAATATCGAACTTTCCATATTTCTTTGTTTGACAAGCTAAAAGTAATTCAAGAAAGAAATAAAATAAAACACAATACAATACTTTAATAAAGTTTTGCAATTATTTAATAAAGTTTTATCAGATGGTCCATAATACCAGATGGGCTTGATGTATTAATTACATTGTTTCGCACATCACGTGTGATAAACGTGTTGATTTATTTACATTAAATTTAACCACTTGTAAAATTTCATTACATCTGTTTAAATAAACCGAATTAATGCGTCAATTCTATTCTCGTTTATAGCTCGCAGCGATCACTATTCAATATATATATATATATATATATATATATATATATATTAAAATCAGTTTTCAGTATTATTATATCAAATATATCAGTTCACATTGATAATATGATATTTGATCATACTTATTTAGATTGGTTAATCAATGTAAATTAAAAAAATATATTATACATGATCTCTTTCCAATTTCAACTAGTTGAATTATTAATAATAAATGTAATTAAATAAAATAATTAATTATTACTAATATTAATAAATTTTGGCAAAAAAGGATGTATACACATATGTCCATACGTACGTAAGCAAGATTCCACGTTATCGGCGAAAATTAATGAAGTATGTTTTTTAAAATCATCCAAAAAATTGCGAGCTTTCGAGACGAGTGCTGTCAAAATTGTTTCTAATACTGAACTTGGCGCAAATACAAATAGAATATATTTAGTACTAACTATGTCAAGTAGATTATACGCCATGTACGAATATTTTGCGTTTGCTTATAAATTGTATCTTTGAAAGCACGTAAGCAACTATTTACAATACGTGCATAAGTTTCGTTGAAGAATTCTTTGGTATGAATTAATTCTTAAGCTGTTTATACATATACATATACATATGACAGCTATCGATCGCAAACCCTTTTTTCCCTCTTTTTGTATTCAAATTTAAATTAACTTATTTATTAACTTATTCTTGATTGTGAAAAAAAATAGTTTTTTAATATAAAATAACTCTTGCATATATACAATTTTAGTGGAGGAAAAAATAAGCTTAACAAAATAGGTCTTACATATATATCATTTTAGTGGAAGAAAAAAAACAAACTTAACAAAAATAACCAACAAGTAAATGTAATACAAAAAACAAAAATCACATAAAACAATAGTTTTATATGATAATATGATAAGATATTCGTAAAATACAGGATTGTTTTTTTTTTTGCAACTCGAAAGTCTGCCATTTATAGAGCATAAGAGATAGAATGTAAAGGTGCAAGTATTGGATGGAAATTTTAATACATACAAAGGAATATACGGTACATTTGTTCAATTAAAACACATTAATTACTTTCTGTTATTTTACAATTGTAGTTATAAAATCGCGGTAAGAGCAAAGAATTTTAACATACATAAGAATTTTAACTCGTAAATATTATCCAAAGGCATACATATTACACTGAACTTATTGATTTCAAATAAATATTTTCTTAAGTTAAATAATATTATTTACACATGTGTTTGAAACAAATAAATATTTATTTGTTCTGAAAAAGAATTTCTTATATCAAATTAGTATTTTTTACGGCAAATCATTATTATTATTAGTTTCAAATAAATTGTATATAAATAGTGGCACTATTTAAATAAATATTTATGTGAAATCAATAGTTTTTTTAGTGTATGTACTTACATTGTTTTGTAATATATACAAAAAACATTTGAACATTGATTGTTTCAAACATCTTACTCTGTATGCAAATGACAATTAATTAAGTAATATACATTAATATATTATATCATATATAACAAGAATCTCGGCCTCGTCTAAAATAATATCTGTACTTCTTTTCTCTTATATATTAAAGTCGAAAACTCGTTAAAATTTTCCGTGACGCTGAATATTTTCCATAATCTACAACTTATTCATTTCGCAAATTAATCCACCGTAATCTTTATTTGGAAAATTAATAATTGCAGCAGTATTTGTATCGATTTTCCTGTTACAGTTCTGCTGTATTTCTTTTTCTTACATAATCGGACCTTTTATTTTTTTCTTCTTATCAGTTTATCTCTATAAGACCGGTAGGATATTAATGGCCATAAAACATTATCGATTATCTCTAAGCATTCGAATCAGCTTTTTCTATCCGGTTAAGGGGATCCTAAATGATGTTTTTACCGACCGAATGCGAGAATATTTATTTTTTTCATATAACTTTTTATTGACTATACTGATCAATAAATCCTTTTCCACGATTAAAGTACTTATAAAAACGGACCGCGCTAGCTATGTTTGCATATATAAATCATATAAAAATCAAAAATTACAGTTTTGTTATCGGCTGCTTTGTGTCAGTTCGTAATAATACTTATTTAATAAAAAAAGTTTTGCAGTTTGTCTGTGCATGAAATATAGTATGCGCGGTAAGGATTATATGAAGAAATATTAGTAAGCAATTAAAAGTGAGATTGCAAGTCTAATAAAAAAGTTATATATAAAAAAACATTTCACGCATATGTGTGTGTGCAAATCGAGGCTGCGGAATAAAACAGAGCAGTAGATTAGTTGCGTGATATCGTGATAGATGGAGCTGCAACGTGTTTCTCTCTTTCTCTCTCTTTCTTTCGCTCTCTCTCTCTTTCTGTTTTTTATAAGATCTGTTCGTTTTGGCTACACTGGCCACATTAGTTCAGAAGTTGTCTTTTTTGTTCGACATTGGAAGGAAAAAGATAACCTCTGAATTAGTGTAGCCAATGTATGCCATTATATATTTTATGTTTGATAATATAAATAATACATCAATTTTTTTCTATAAAAAACTATATATAAAACAGAAAAAATTTTGTGTTATTTATATTATCAAACACATGAAATATATAATGACATACAATTTTATTTTAATTATATTTGTATAATACAATAATATTCACATGATTTTTATAGATAATAAGTATATGCATTTATAATTTATAAAAACTAAATCTTATTTTTCATACATCGAAGTAATTCGAGTAATAATAAATGCACAGAATGAAAAATTTATTTAGAAATGCTCTCAAAGTAAGCTACATGTATGTACATGCAATAAAAAATGAGGGTTTCCATTATTTCCAAATAATCTTTATGTGACTTTGATAATGCTATTCAACATAATACTAATACTACTATGTAATGATAAATAACCCTTATAACTTTGGTAATAAAACATTTTTCAATAAAATACGTATTTTCTTCTAAAAACTCCTGATATATGATCGTTGTTACATCCTGTATATGTATAATTTATATAACATTTGTTATAAGAAGTTGTGTGCGTGTGTGTGTGTGTGTGTGTGTGTGTGTGTGTGTGTGTGTGTGTGTGTTGAGAAGATTGGAATATATTATTTTATTACTTTATGTTTCTATCTGATAAATGCAGCTTTTTTTAATTAAATTTATAAAATACAATTTCTATGAAAGTCAATTTTAACAAAATTTCGATTTCACAAATATATGTTTATATGAATATATTCTTTTCGATATTTTATATTTTCTCTATTTACTATTTATTATTTGTTCAATAAAATCCATTTTATTATAAAATAAATTAATAAAGATAGAATAATGCAAAATATATTAGTCTAATTGTGCAGTAAAAAATATTTTGATAAATTTAAAATATTTGTAGAAAAATTATTTATTTCGGATATTTACAAAAAGCTGCATTTATAATATAAAAACATGAAGTAATAAAATTTTATCTATTCCAATCTTCTCAACATACATACAAATCCAAATTATACATGATACACATACAACATAATAACATGCATGTAAAGACAGACAAGAATGGGGAAAGAAAAAGAAAATAAAAGTTTAAAATATCCCGGGACAAAAATTTGTGTATATAATAATATAACATTATATAGAAATATATAAAAGTATACGTATAATCGCAGAATTATATTATGAAATATGTCTATACATAATTAAGTAAAAGTGCTTGTTATATATAATTATATAAATTTATATATATATATATATATATATATATATATATATATATATACAGGGTGTTCGGTAACTAACGGACCAACGATCACAAATGGATTCTTTGGTCAATTTGGGAACGATTTTTCCTCAGCGAAAATGTCAAAAAAGGTCATCATTTTTTACAACTTTCCAATATTTGTCATTATGTATCTTTATAACTAAACCTCAAATTAAAATTGTATTATAGTAAACTCTACCTGAAATTAACTGAAGAATGTAATTATGTTAGACTTTGAACTCCAAAACGTTTAGTTTTCAAAAAACCCATTTTTTTCAATCGCTTATAACTCGAAAATTATTGACTTCTCAACATTTTTGCTGAGGAAAAATCATCATCTTTTCACCTACCCTACAACCCCTCAACGGTTGGCACCGGAGTTCCCGAACACCCTGTATATATATATACAAGTGTAATAAATAAGTATTTCTTTATATATATAAATATATATGTTTTATATACAAATTTGACATGATTATATATGCACCCTTATTTTTTATATATAAATTTACATAATTATGTATAAAAATGGACATATTTTAAAAGAATGAATGAGTGAGTGAACGAGTAACTGGCTGTTGCCGTAAAACGATATGATTGATTGCATTGATTACTAATTGATAGAATACTAACAATAAGCATAAAGGATCAAGAAAGAGAGAGAGAGAGAGAGAGAGAGAGAGAGAGAGAGCTCTCTTTTTTTACTTTTCAGAAAATAGTGACATTCAATGCAAACGATCAATTATACATATATCTCCTTACGACACATACAACGCGGGAAAAATTTTTTATATATAATTATATTAAATAATTGTGTAATTATAATTTTGCGAAAAATAACAAAAATTGGGTACATGCTAAAAATGTAGCATGTAGACACCCTATATATACATATTTGTAAACAAAATCGTGTGCGCGCAATGACATATATTTGCGCGGGATGGTTCACTTGTCACGCGGTACGTACTATACGTGCTTACACGCAGTGCGCGACTCGACCGTTATAACGTGTGATAACGTGTCGAATATTGTGATAGATAGACATACTGTGATATTTTAAAAGTGATATTTTTATATTTATTAAATATATAGTGTATAATGGGTGCAAACAAAAATAAACGTTTGCCCCTATCTGGTCGCAGATTGAGTAGAAAGGGAGCATGTTTTAAAAGGTTAGTATTATGTCATATCATAAAATTGATTCAATATCAGAATTACTGTTACATACAGCACAAATACACAAAATATTACATACCTATTTATTATGCACATAAATGTATATAACGATTAGATAGACAAAAAGAAAAAGAAATATATATATATATATATATATATATATATATATAACATTATAAACAGTACAAATAAACATTAATTATATACATCTATTTGTTATACACATACATGGATATAATGAATAAATTAATAGATACAGAAAGCTGAAGAAAAAAAAGAGAAAGATAGTGAGTATGAGTTCTCTAGCCTCTTTACATTATAAATATATATCATAAAGCAATATATATATGTATATATACATACACACATACATGTATACATACATAATAATATATTGCTTGTCGACGTTTATAAAAAGGCTCACTCGTTCGCTCTCTTTCTATTTATTTCTTTTTTCTTCTATTTCTTTTTTTTTGTATATCTAATCGTTATATACATTTATGTGCATAATAAATAGGTATGTAATATTTTGTGTATTTGTGCTGTATGTAACAGTATTATGTATGCTGTATGTATTATATATATATATATATATATATATATATATATATATAGTGCGCATGATATTTGAGACGTTTCTGATAATTAAAAAATTTATATTGTACAAATGAATTTGTTTCAAAGCTATTACGTAACAGAAAAATTAAAAAAAAATGTTTTCATGAAAAAATGAATGTCATAATTTTTTTTTAAATAAAAGCATCATATTCAATCTAAATCAATTTGTTACAATATTCTGCATCAAAAATTATAAAGATAAAATTGTGAAAAAGTGAAAAGTTTACGAGATATTTGAGTTTTAGAGAAAATATGTAGCTGCTGGTTTACAATTTATATCTTTATTTATATCTGTGTTTTCTTTACACCAATTGATTTAAAATTGGAATAAAATAATCAGAAAATGATTTCATGAGATATTTCATAGTTTATGTACATTATGAAAGTATAATATATCTCATAAGCTATTCGCTTTTTTTGGCCATCCTACATTACAACTTATGCAGAATATTGAGAATCGATTTATATAAAAAATATGATTTTATTAAAAAAAATTCAAGGTAACACTAATTTTTTTTATAAAAATTTTTTTTCCTCATTTTTTATTGCTTGTAATAGATTGCACAAAACAGATCAATTTTTACAATATATATTTTTTTCTAAACTGTTGCAAACATTTCAAAAATCGTACGTATTGTTATGCTGAACATCGTATTAATATATATATATATATATATTGATACATATATATTGATATATATAGTTGGTGTAAAGAAAACACATATTTACCTTTAAAAAAAATATGAAAATTGCAATAAGCAGTTAGATAATTTTTCTTTAAGACAACTATGTGTTTTCTTTACACCAATTGATTCGTCTCATTATTCTGTGCATAAAAGTATTAAGGTATGATAATCGAAAAATGAATATTTCCCAAGATATTTTCTATTTTATGTCAAAATACTGCAAATTTGCAGCCTTATAACTCGAAAAATACTTAATGAAAAAATATTTTATTGTAGTGTTTTGGAAAGATCTTAAAGTCAGCTATAAAAGTATGCAAGAAAAAATATAGTGTTCCATTTAAGAAATTGAAGTTGACCGTCACGTAACCTTCAAATGGCTATTCAAGGTCAAATCAATGACACCATCTCATGTCCCCCTTGAAACCATACAACTTTTATCTGAAACATTTTTGTCTTAAACTTTTGAATTTTGAGAAATTTTAGTGCAAAGATTAAAATGGTTTACCCTGTATATAAATATATATACATATATATATATATATATATATATATATATATATATATTTGTATGTATGTATGTATGTAGGTGTAATTTTATAAGAACATTCAAATAGACGTTTAAAATGCAATTTTTATTTTTATTTTTAATTTTTATTTTAATTTTTTTTTATTAAAATGCAATTCTCAATTTTTTTATCTGAAAGATAATGCAATCCTTTGTTTATTTTTTCATGTATAATTGATAATTATTATTATAGTTTTTATAGTAGTTAGTGCCAGAGGCGGTCTATTCGTGTGCTGGTTTAAAAAATAATTCCAGAGGCGATCTATTCGTGTGCTGGTTGTTTTAAAACTGTAATTCCAGAGGCGATCTATTCGTGTGCTGGTTGTTTTAAAACTGTAATTCCAGAGGCGATCTATTCGTGTGCTGGTTGTTTTAAAACTGTAATTCCAGAGGCGATCTATTCGTGTGCTGGTTGTTTTAAAAAATAATTCCAGAGGCGATCTATTCGTGTGCTGGTTGTTTTAAAAAATAATTCCAGAGGCGATCTATTCGTGTGCTGGTTGTTTTAAAAAATAATTCCACAGGCGATCTATTCGTTTGCTGATAACTGTACAAAATATTTTACCCCAGATGCAGTTTGCATGTGCGCAAAATTCTCAGAAGCGATATTGCAATGTTGAAACTTTATAACTTATCATGTGATAGTGACTTTCACGTAATCTTTATGACTGTGCAAGGTCAACACTAATGGTACTATTTTATAGTTCCTTTGAAACCGTATAACTTTTGTTGTTTTATTATAAAATGCATTGAAACAAAGAGATATTAGGGGTAGTAAAAATGGGACACCTTGTATAAATACACACACACATACATATGTGTATATGTATGTGTAACAACCTGTGTATATATAATTTTTATATAATTATAAATTATATAAAATGGGACACCCTGTGTATGTATGTGTGTGTCGATTGACAACTTTTTTATTGCGACATCTGTAGAGTTTTGTCGATAATTATATTTAAAAAATCTTCATTATCGACCCTATCGGAGTTCGCCCGTGCATTTAGGATCCCCTTAATGCCAATAAAATTTACTAAATTACCCTCAATTCTTAATTTGCCTTGATTGCGATGTCGTAATCCATGCGTATCCATTTACTGTTGCTTTGGCTTACGTGTATTAGATTATAATTGCAGCAAAATAAAATTTGATTATATAACAAACAAACATGTGCACAAATAATGCGGCTCAAGCAGTGAAGTGTTTTTTTTTTAATAATACACGCTCTGCAACCGATTAAACGTGAAACATGAATACGTCATGCATTTATGTATAAGCTTATGTAGCATAGCGAGGACTTTAATTAGTTCAGCATTTTTAAGTTGTTGTAATGGTTGATTATTTCTAAAAAAGCTCGCATGGTTGTGATGTATTATTGATGTCAAAAAACAAGATCAATAGTGCGAATAGCATGATCACGAATAGAAAGATCATCCATTTCGTCTGCAGATAGAATGGATATGGAACGAGAGACAAGTGCATCAGCATGTCTTCTCATTTTTTTATAGTATATCTCTCACAGATAAAGAATAAAAAAAATATATATGTATATATGTGTATATATATATATAATAATTGTATTTGTTTAGAAAAAAATACGAAAGAGTTATCACTTAAAATATACGCAAATCAAAATGTATGTATCAGTGTGCACGTTACACGGCTTTTTTACTAGTAGAATGCACTTAATATTAAACTGAATATTAGGTAACTGATATTATAAATAAAATTATTTCAAAACTTTATTAATAATAATCAATTCACATAGCGTTGTGTAATTGTACAATTGTGCAAGCTTATTTAAAGTCATTACACTACTTAATTCTTGCGACATATATAAAAATATTAAATGAAGAATTATATAAAATGTAAATAAAAAAGAGTATGAGAAAAAAGACATGCAAATGCAATTACAGGTATGCAAATATCTTCCTGTAATAATTGCATCAATATACATGTATGTGAGAAAGCATAGAATTAAAAATACAAGATATTTTAATTTATTTTGTACATTATCTTTAATAGTTCAAATAAAACGCACATTAAATGCGCAATTTTAACTCGATTTCTTCTTTTTTTTTATTTTGATTAATTTTATTAATTTAATCTATATGATAAAAGCAACAGAAACGCGTTAATATTTTACTTAAATGTCTCAATGATAATATAATGGATCTAGTTTCTTTCACATTTTAGTTTTGTATACTTGAAAAGTAAAATTACGATCTATTTTATACTTTATAAAGTTACACCTAGGTCGCGCATAAATAAGTAATTATATTGCAACAATGTTCAATATATAATGTTTAGAATAATACATAAAAAATAATTGGGATTTTTACTGAGAGAATTATGTCCTTGAAGTTTAAATTATTTTCACCCATATTAAATTCATAGTAAGCTTAACGGATTAAATGCGGAAAATCTTTGAAATATTCAGCGAAATTGAAGATATTTGAACATGCCCGTTTCCATTGCGTTCATTAAATGCGGCACATTCGGTAAATTTTTATTCGAGATAAATAAGATGAGTTATTCTCGATGAGAATTATATTCGAGTTATATAAGTTTTAAATGATTCCGATGCAATAATAACGAGTAACGTGAAAACAAATAAAAGATAGAAATGATTTAAATAGAATTCTTATAAATAGGACAACTATTTATATTACTACTGTTACAACAAATGCATTACAAGATGAGCAGTTTTCAAAATATATTTCTTGAGATTCTATTTTTTTTATTTTTTGAAGAACATATATACTTTCTATATGTAGTGGTAAAATATTCACAAAGTTAATAAAATAATTTCTATTTGTTAATCCTGTACGTGCACATATTTAAACTGTTGGTATAACGACTGATCTGTATTTTGCTACGTGTCCAATATTTTAGTGTGTTAATGGATCTTGCGAGAACATATATCCTCGTTTTCCCTTTCTCCGGATCCTCGATCAGAATGGCCTTTTTCTCATCGTTCCTGAAGAAAAGAAAAATTCAGTAGATACGCGAGTATCTTCTCTTGCTGCATCGTATAAGATATTGGGATGTATAATATGACAATAAGCATATGAATATTTTTAGGGTGTCCGTTTATACAAACTCTCTAAATTTCTTGAAGTGAAAACTGAACAATCTCATTCCAAAAGAGTGGAATCTCACTTTTTTAGAGTAAAATTGCACTCTTTTGGAATGAGATTGTTCAGTTTTCACTCCAAGAAATTTAGAAAGATACAAAGAGAAACTTACAGATTTAAGATTACTAATACGACGCCACCGTCGGGTGTAGAAAATGCAACACTTGCAACTCCATTCATGTTTTCCATCGTTGTGCCGATTCTCACACTATTAGGCGGAACATATCTGTTGAAGGAAAATTTAATTAACAATAACTTAGATCGCTAAAGTATTATGAAAATGTATCAACTCTAGCTATTTTATGAATTCATGTCGTGTTAATGTCATTAATATTACGAATATGTCACACACATACACACAGACACACACAATAATCCAAATATAAAAGAGCAACGAACTTTGAAAAATGTCCAAGCACGTAGAACATTGGCTGCTTATAAAATTCGTCCGCGGCACTATTGACTATTATAGGCGAATCAACGTAATTATCGATCCAATTTGGTCCACCAGACATATCTAAAGCTATATTCCAATCGATCCAAGAAGATGCCCAGTTTGATATGGTTTCCATAATGTTTTTCGCGTATATCTCACCACGCCTCCATGAACCTAAGATTACCTTTTGCTCTGTAAATAAGCATTATTTATTAAATTATACAATATTCGACAAATGCATTGATTCTTTCGGTAACTCGGTATATTTATGATATATAATAATATATTGTATATTATATAATATATATTTATAAAAATATATTATAACAGCTTAAAAAATATATAGAATGATAACAAAAGTACACTATTGCCAGAAAGTATTTTTGGAAATGAATCTAATCCAGAGAATTTTTACCATGTTTTTCTTTGATGAGCAATTATCGAGCATCCGAAGACAAAATGTGAAAAATTTGACGAATGACGCAAATGCGGCATGATGTTATAATTTTATTAGAAAGATTGATACTTTTTTATGTACGAGGAAGAATGGAGTAAAAAATACAAGATATTTTGTAGTTGTTTAATTTACGATGTTTGTGATGATAATAAAAATTTTCAATTTTTAATTCGATATCTCGATATTCATATAGGACGAAATAATAAATAAAAAAAATGATAAAAGATTTTTTGATTTGGTTTGCTTCTATAAATATATATATATGTTCCAATACTGGAGAACTCAGTTAACACTATATGCATAAAACATTAAATTTTTTGTTTTACTTAAACTCATTCTCATTAAAACTAGACCAGCAATAGAAAACTCTTTCGGATAAATTTATAATATGAAAATATAAATTAATTTTTACCAACCTTCCCAAACTCCTACGCAAGCTTCTGAGTATATTATTGACTTTTCCGGAAAATTTCTTTTTACTTCACGTAAATTATGTGGGCCAATTGCAGTATCGAAATAAAAATGGAGCGTAATTCCTGAAATGATATCTCTTGCTCTTTTGTCCTCAAATACTTTATTCGGCCAATCAGGAAGTACCAGCCTGTTTTCTTCCATTGCATAGATCTTAATGTGGCCGAAGCCCTTTTTTGAAGAGTTGGTGACAAATACTCGATAATCCAGTCACGCTCTTCCTCAGGAGTCCATGTCATACTGGTAAAATTCAGTTCTGGCGGAATATAGATGTGACTGGCTGGCTCATTTTGAGACGACACACCCCAGAATTCCAGACCAGCATTACGATAAGCCTCAAAATATCTATATAGATACAAGAATAAAATATATAATTATTTATGGTAGTGTATATATTTATACATATATATATAAACTTTGATTATGAATTGTTCTCTATTTTCTTTATATATATAAAAATGTACTAATATAAATATCATTTTAATGATAATTTTCCTGATCAGGTATTATGAATAATATAAGTTAATATATAGAGATATTTGAATAATATATAATCACTTGGCGAAATAATCTGCCCATAATTGTCGATTTTCTGGATGTAATTTATCATGATTCATCCATTTGTGATTTACTTTCATCCAAGGGGGCGCGGTCCATGGTACGGTCAACAGCTTGATTTTATTTTCTTTTAATTCTTGAGCCCGTTTTATCAGTGGTATCTATTAATACTTGAGATATTTAATGAAACATATACATTATGTTTTAATTATTAGCTATATTATTCACTCTAGAAAGTTAACTTTAGGAACGTAAGAATTTTTTCTTTTACATATTTTTAAAAATATAGATTACACTTGTCTTGTACAATAAAAGGGCTAATAAAAAATTCTCTATTAAATGAATAAACCTTATAATCATAATCTTCCATTTGCAAATTAAAATTCGAAAGTGTAATGTCATTTTCTGTCATTGCGTAGGTATAAGCTCTTGTTGAAAAATCCGATCCACCCATTGGCGTTCTGATAAAGTTATAATCAATACCATTTGGCCCAAAGTAGCTTCTACAATTTGGGAAAGAAATTTAAATATGGAATTATTTCTTGATAAAAGTTATCACTTACAATACTTGCTAGATATTTGACAATCGTACAATCATTAAATTAGCAAAACTTTTTAATTCGAGTATTCTATGATATACTTTATCAAGTTGTCGGACGCATTCTGTGTCAGATTAAAAATATTTATAGCTGCTGAATCAGTCACTGCTCCACCAAATCCCAAGATTTCTTGATACATTTCTCTTTGGTTTACAATGATCTTTCCCGGCAGAAGTGAATTTACTTTCTTTTTCTTAATACTTCCGCGAAATATTTTTGTTGGGACGGTAATTATTTTTAAAAATTTTCGTAGTACACCATACTCTTTTGTTCGAGATTTCGGATCTGTTCACACATGCAAACAGACATATTTTTTTCTAATATTTTTAGTGCATATCAGAAAATTAATGAATCTTCTATATAAGAGACGTTATATGTACTCACTGCGTTTAGGTTCAATTTCTTTAAATAAGCCTTTCGATACGCGAAATCGTAAACCATTTTTATTTGAAGTTATTAAAGTATATTCGTCGAGATTTTGTGGTTTAATCGCGTCAGGAGTTTGATCGCATCGCTTTGCATTGCAGACGCAATAATGTCCATCATCTCCACTCGTACTCGAGCGGCGTTTGACACAGTCAATTGATGATGTAACTACATTTGTTAAAAAAAAAATATTAATTACTTTGCTATTACTATAGTTTTGCATATGTATTTCAATGATATGCGATACACATTTTTTTACGTATGAATAAATGAATTTTAAAATTGAACGTAAACATGTGACTTTAAATTTGCCAATTTGAATGTTTCAATATTGTTAGAACTAGAAATGCTTATTTCTGACTGTTATTTGGTGTGTGCATCTTATATTTTATATTTGACATTTTGAAAGGTGTCAAAATAGAAAATATTTCTGCTTTCATAAGGAAAGATTTTTAAAATTGCACATTATGTATAATAATATAGATAACTATCTGTACTTATATGTTGTTTTAATTACGTTTTTATATATTTTATAATATAAAGAATTATTTTTGTAAGCAAATATTATTTTCACATTTAATGTAAAATATATTAAATGTGCTTAAATTATAAAAATATCCGCGATAAAACTAATAAAAGAATATCTTAACAAAAATATACGGAAAACTGCGATAGATGAAATTAATATTTATATCAATTAGTATATTAATAACGCAATAAGCAACGGACACGAACAAAACGTAGTAATCTAGAGTACTTATTGAAATACAATTTAGATACAAAGTATAATTTATTATATATACCTGTCACTGAAATTGCAAAGAGAATGATCAATCGCCACATTATGACTGAATCGGCAAACGAGGATATGACTGTAATGTGAAGGTTGTGACTTTTATATAAATATTTTCACACCTGATATGAAACAAACCATTATAATGAACTGCTCATATTTACATTTTTGTACAGTAAGAGACATAAGTTTGATAAACAGAAAACTTGAAAAAAGATATGAAAAAGTGTAATTGAGATATTACATATAAAAATGATGATATAATTTCTTAATTTCCAAAATCGATTTTTTTTTTAAACACAAAGTTATTAAAAATATCTAAGTATTTAAGTCAAATACGTCTTATTGAACTTAAGAAAAAATTGTAAATTTGACTAACTAAATATGTTTAGTATTATTTCTATTTTTAAGTTATTATTTCTTTCATTATAATATTTAAAATATTGCTGGAAGGCTTGTTTTGATAATAATTAAAATTTTTTTTTTTAATTGCAAGCCTGACGCAACGGTGGTACACAAAGTTATTTTTGTAATGAAAACCGTGTGTGTTGTTCAATGTTATCCTTATTTGAGTTTGAACATTTCGATCCATGTGAGCCATCATCAGCAATTGTCAAATACATTAAAGTTTGCATTAGTGATATGTCAACCGTTTATCATATTTGTAACTTATAAATAAAAATGATACTAAACATTTAATCAAGTTAATCATTTTTTCTTAATCTATGTAAAATATGCAGCTTATTTGTTTAGCTACGAAATATATAGACTTTAATCTTCTAGCTTTATTGTACAATATATTAACGAGCAAATTTTTTTTATCATGTTCTATGAAATAAAAATTTATAATTATATTTTATTAAGATAAATTTGTAAAATTTAATAAAATTTCTTTAAATTGATTGCAGGTGTTCTCTTTTTCATGTGGCTAGAATGTGAAAGGAAGACTAAGATTATTTTTCTGCGTAAAGAATCAACTAATTATATGTATGGTTTCTGCAAGCCAATTATTACCGATAAGGAAATTTCAAGGTAAGACAAAATATCGATAATACATCGACAAATACATAATAAGACAAAAATAATAAAGACTTTAGACACATTATCGTTTTTTGTCATCGATGCTGTCAAGAATGTTCATTTCATTAATTTATTTCTGATGCTGATGATCAAATGGTTGTTTTACCATTCATATCTTTGCCTTTACAAGGAAATCTCGTACTCTTTGCAAAAGTTGATGAGTTTTGAATATAATAAAGACTAGAGAGAGATAATGTTTTTATATATAAATACTCAATTTTATTTTAAAGAAAGAAAGAGATTGAAACTCCCCCGTTAAAGCAAAATTAAATTTTTGTGTACAGTAAAAGATATTTCATTGATAAGGTAAGAATTATGAAAAAAACATTTTAAATAAAAGTTTTATAACTTTTAATAATTTTATACTGACCCGTTGAATATACAGGGGTTTTCAGACCATTTAACCCGTTAACCCCTTTTATTTTTTAAATGGCTCAAAATGATGAAAAACCGCGAAATATGTATTTGATTATTTCAAGAAGCTTGATATTCTTTTTCTTCATAATCTTGTAGAGATAATTATGAAGGCAAATGACAATATATAATTTCATTATAACTATGTAAAGTTAGTTTAACACTTTTTATTTTATTTTAACGACATTTAGATTTGATTAGTGTATAGCAGCGCCAAGTTTTTGCGAATTATATTTTTTTGCTTTGCTTTAAATCAACTTTGTTACTTTTATTATTTCCTTTGATACAATACATACATATGTGAGCTTATATAATACTTTTAAAAATTCTTTATTTAAAGTTTTAACTACAATGATTTTAAAATATATTACAATCATATTTAAATACAAATACATAAAAAAAAACACTAAGTATAAAATATAACAATTCTACTTCAATTGTGTTTTGTATGCAAAGCAGTTGCAAATAAAATTATACTATTGCGTCGTGTATAAATTTTACATATAGGTCAGCGTATGTATTTATTCATTATTTTGTGTCGTTCTATCTAACTAAACTTCGATATTTAGTTGTTAAAGATATTTAGTCAATTCCGTTTAATATTTAGAAACACTTTATTGATTTTATATATAAAAATTGTTTATTGCCATATTGCCTTCATGATTTTATACATATTATATTTGTAAACTTATAGAAAGAAGATATTATCAGTAAGTATAAAACATTATAATGATAGAGGGATAAGATGCGTATAACGGTATCTAGTCTATTTCTGAAGAATATTTTTGGGAGACAACTTTATTATATGATTGAATTTGGCGAAATTTTTGCTATTTTAAAAAGGTACGAAGAGACGGGAAGCTGTTTAGAAAAATATAACATGTGTAACAAAAATGAATGCGTTATAAAGTGTATTAAAAGCCATTTATATATATAAACTTTTATTTCAAATATTTTCTTATATTTTTTAGTATTTCCATAATTCAAAAACACGAATGCTGATTTTGAACTTCTCCAAATAAAATTAAATATTTACAAAATATATATACTATTTATACATTATAATTTATGCATTTACTTTTTGTTACAAATATTGTAATATATATATAATTTACAAAAATCGAAAGAAATACTTATTGTTAGTATTGTTCAAATATGGTACGGGAATCAAAACGAGATAAAGATATTAAGATTTGAGTATTTTTGTTATTAATTTAACAACAATCACTTATTAACTATCACAAGGATAACTCAAATCCTTTTATAGATTGTCTATTTTACATTTTATTTACACAAACGAAATAAGAACTATTACGAGAAATTAGCGAACTGAAATTATCACAGCACAAAGCGCAACTAATCTGAAAGTCTGAACTAGTCCGACAACATTCATGATACCGCATTTTAAGTAAGGATCATCGTACACAAAATGACATAGATGCATATTCATAATATAAGACTGTCTGAACCAATAAGCATCGAACATAAAGAGTCGTCATATTGATTTTCACAATATGCTTATTGGTCCAACCGATTTTATGCTATGCATATGCAGTTATGTCAATGTGTGCGATAGCCTTAAGAAATAATTTGCACAATCGATTGTTCATGCTTTATAGAACTCTACTGTAAAAGTCAGTTTATTGTTGCAACATGTGATGCAAACTTTTATTTTCATTGCTTTTGCTAACGAATCGTTCGAACTGTGCTTATCGGTCTTCTTTACAATTGCAATAGATTTTAGCATACAAATGATGTTCAATACATCCAACAATACATCTCCCAACTTGCATTCTTTTTGTTGTGCGTGTCTCTAACTATTTTGAATATATATATATATATATATATATATATATGTCTTCTACTGGCTTATTTTGATCGAACTTGTATCTTTTCTGACACCAATATATATTTTTTTTATTTAAGTGGTCTTTGAATTAATCAAAGAAGCAATGAAAAATTGTGAAATATTTTTTACATATTGATTTTTTCTACTTTCCACGATTCAACACATCTTGTTTTTTTACAAACGTATTTGTAATTATTTTACACATGCATACAACTAGTTAGAGCTAGTCGAGCATGTTGTCACGACAAGTGAACTAGATTCCATTAATTGCCGCGCGCGCACATATTCGGTCTTGTTTCAAGATTAAATTGAGTTTCTTTTGTAAACGGGGTCGCGTGGCCAGCCAGGCATACCTTCTGCCGTAGGGTAATCATTGGACCAAATATTCATTTAGCTTCGGAGCGCACCTATGAGAGCTTCTACAGTCTTAAATAATGCACTTTTATATATTCTCGTTGTGTCGCACGAGCAATTGTGACGAATTCATAGAAATAAATGCTTTGTTTAAAAAAGGCTTTTACGTGCAGCTATATATGGACATTAGAGGGAGAGGGATTACATAAGGAGGGAAATTTATAGAAAAGAATATACGTGATACCCCAATGAAAGTTTTAACATTTAACTGCAAAGAACCTATAATTTCTTAGGAGAAATTATTTGTGAAAATAATTTTCAAAAAGTTTCTTCTTTTTCCTTGTTTTTTTATAAGAAAAAAACAAGATATTAAATAAATTATTTAAATTAGAGTTCTAATTTGTTTTGAAAAATTTGGCTAATAAAGTCATCGAAGAAAATATCCTATCGAAGTTGCTTAAAAATGTCATTACGGTTTTTTTTGGAAGCTTTGTCGATGTATACGAATGTAGAATTTCGTATTAAATTGTAACAATGTTAATTGATAATAACGCTATAGTTCATTTCTCAATTGCCTTTAAAGTTAAAATTGCTAATATTGCCGGTCGAGCGATTAATATGATAATGAAATGAGTTCCAGAAATGTGTGGGCTTGATGTATTTATTAAATTATGCGAGATCATAATGAAACATAATTAAAAATAAAATATCGAACTTTCTATATTACTTTGTCCGATAAGCTAAACGTACATATATATAATTTAAGAAAGAAATAAAAGATAAAATAACTCTTGGTTTATTTGGCAAATATCAGATGGTCTATAATATTTGGTGTATGCTGATTACATTGTTTCGCACATCATGTGTAATAAAAGTGTTGATTTATTTACATTAAATTTATCCGACTGTAAAATTTCTTCACATCTGTTTAAACAAACTGAATTTTAGTCTCGTTCAGCGCGCAGCGGTTATTATTAATAAAAATTGTATCAAAATCAATTTTTAGTATTATTATATCAAGAATATCAGTATTAATATTGATAATATATGTGATATGTTTACATGTCATACTTATTTATATATTATAATAAAAATTCTGATTAAATTCGACACACTGGCAATTAAGGTGGATGCTAGATTTATTACGTTACGTTTCGACCATACAGATTGTGGTCCTTTTCAAACGATTACAGTATTTTTAACAATCTGGAAAGCCGATACAAAAGAATTATATATATATATATATATATATATATATATATATATATAAATTATGCGTGAGAACAATAAGTCAATACAGATACTTACATTAAATATTACATCACATTAATTCTTTGGAAAGTTGTTTATTAAGTGTATTATAATTTAGTCATTATTTAAAAGAAGAAAACGGAAACAGACAAAACATCGCTTAAAACCGCATATTCGAATATAAATGAACGTGATTTTACATCTAAAAACAACGCGGTAATCTACCATATATTATATATATATATATATATATGGTAAGTTACCGCGTTGTCTTTAGATGTAAAATCACGTTCA